AGAAAGGCGAGGCCTCACCACCCATTTATCCCTCCGCCTTTCAACCAGCACCACATGTGATTATCGGCCAGGCTGGCACAATTAACTAACTCACCTGTGGAGCAGTGCTATTCTACACACACCCCGTCTCCGTGAGGTGAGAGCTCCTTTATAGCAAATCACAACTTTGTAAGTTTACAGGGATAATTAAGGTGGCTTCCTGAACAAGATGAAATGAAAATCGCTGCCCTTGGGCATCAGGTGTGAGCTCCTGAGTCTTTCATATGCTCAGTGATGGTGAAGGCGCCCTGGTGACCGGAGGGGTTGCATGTTGGGCTGGGAACCACAGGGCGGGCAGTTGGACTCCAGGGAGACATTCTGCTCCTGTAAAGATTCATAGCCTGGAAACCCAGAGGGCCCTTCTGTTCTGTTCTTTAGAGTTAGAACCAACTTGATGGCAGTGAGCTTGGTTTTTGAGTTTATAGAATACTGTCATCTGTAGAGTATATAATTTTTCTTGAACGGTATGCAGTGATGTTTTAAACACATTGGCACTTGTTTTGAGTAAATATAGTTGCAAGTAGCTATTTTATGCTGTGAGGTTGGTGCAGGGACGGGTTCAGCTCTATCATTTAAAGCATGTATTCTACTCCTCTGCCTGCGGGCTAGCTTAACCAGCCTCTCCATTGGCAAGCAGGGCTCTCGGGTGCAGTGATCTAATTTGCCGTTGTCTTTCCCTAGGAAGAGCTGCACTTCAGAAAAGAGTGATGGCACTGCTGAGGCGCATCGAGCACCCCACGGCAGGAAACACTGAGGTAGGTCCTTGGTGACAGAAACACTGTCCCCCTTCTCCTCCCTGCAATATGCCCCAGTCCTCAATTTTGGAAGCTGCCTCTTATGTGCTTGTGACTAGAATATCTTTTTTTGGCAAATCTAAGCTAGATACATGCGTATACAAGAATGTTCTTTTTATCATATGCACCCGGTTATGAAACCTGGCTATTGGTGATTGGTGTTAGCTCTAGGCTGAGAGTTGCTTTCAAGTGTTAGTTGTCTTCCTTGTAGGCATGGGAAGATACACATGCAAAATGGGAACAGGCAACAAAACTAATCCTCAACTACCCAAAAGCGAAAATGGAAGATGGCCAGGTGAGTTTATAAAGGTCATTAAAAAAAAAATTATAAATTGATCTGCTTGGATGAATTACTTCACTCTAGTAATCTTTTGTGATTTACTCTTTGACTAATAAATGTATGGTTGTCTTGAAACTGATATTTAGTTGTGGGTCATCTGGACCTGAAACATCTAATCATTTAGCCACTAACCACATGTGGCTACTTCAGATTAATTTACATTTTAATTTCAGTGAATTAACATTAAATATCAGCATTGAGTTCCTCAGTTGCAGTGCGAGGCACATTTTAAGACTCAGTAGCTGTGTGTGGTTGGTGGTTACTACATTGGATAGACATAAACATGTTTTGTCCACTGTGGAAATATTTGTGCGGACAGTGCTGAGCTAGAGGCCATTTTTTTAAACTTCTTTTCTTGCTCCTTTTCCCTTCTTGAGTTTCTCTCACAGAATTTTCAGGAAAGGGTTGCAGAGGTAAAGAAAGGTATATTAAAATAGAAATAATTTTGCCATTTTGTTAAACATTCGAGTGAAGTGATCTGGTGGTTAGAAATTTGAAACCAATTTTCAAAATATGGACATTTTATTCATCAACATAGCTCCTTTACCCTAGAAATGAGCAATCCCCTAGAATGATTGTGTATTTAATTTTAAACACTTCAAATGCTCAGATTTCTCTCCATATTAGGCATTATAGAAAAACTGGTTACTCTTTCATTGCTTTGTTTTTTTCCTGTCATGCTTAATTCAAATATGAAAAAAATGTTTTTGTGCATCAAAATGTATCTTCAACAGTATGATTTAGAGCGTGAGTACATGTTGCTGTAGACTCAAACTCTTTTTAAAGAGCTTTGTTGAGATTTAATTCACATACAACTCACTCATTTGTAGTGTATTAATTTAGCAGGTTTTAGTATCTTCATAGAGTTTTGCAACCCTTGTCTCCTCCACAGTCCTTTTCATTACCTGAACAAGAAACCTCCCATTCCTTAAGCTGAAAGCAGCTATTAATTGACTCTCTAGCTGTAGATTTGCTTATTCTAGATATTCCATATCAATAGGATCATTTTTTTGGTGTTTTTTTTTTTTTTTTAGGATCATTTCTTACATGGTCTTTTGTGATTGGCTTCTTTCACTTAACATAAAGTTTTCATGAATAACTTTTTTTTTTTTAAAGAAATTTTGTACTTTTGGAGATTTTTAATCTAGTTTTGACAAAAAACATACTGGTGGTTCTTCTAAAACATGTCTATGTAACCTGTGGTCTTGATTTCCCAAATGTGCAAGTGTCATGGAAGAAATGATGGGTTAATAATAATTTGTCAAGTCTCTCAACCAGTTGAGATTGAATTCATGTAATCCACAAACATTTTGTGTTTAGGCTGCGGAAAGCCTTCACAAGACCATTGTTAAGAGGCGAATGTCTCATGTGAGTGGCGGAGGATCCATAGATCTGTCTGATACAGACTCCCTACAGGAGTGGATCAACATGACTGGCTTCCTTTGTGCCCTTGGGGGAGTGTGCCTGCAGCAGAGAAGCAATTCTGGCCTGGCAACGTACAGTCCACCCATGGGTCCTGTCAGCGAACGTAAGGGCTCCATGATTTCCGTGATGTCCTCAGAGGGAAACACAGACACACCTGTCAGCAAATTTATGGATCGGCTGCTGTCCCTAATGGTGTGTAACCATGAGAAAGTGGGCCTGCAAATACGGACCAATGTTAAGGATCTGGTGGGACTAGAATTGAGTCCTGCTCTTTATCCAATGCTATTTAACAAATTGAAGAACACCATCAGCAAGTTTTTTGACTCTCAAGGACAGGTAAAGTATTTTCTGTATTTTACCTTTCCTTTATGTGACTTGTTTGAAACAGTTAGGCTTTTCCTCTCAGATGATTTACATTAGCTGCTGGCATGAATATCTCACTCGCATTTTTTTTAAGGCAAAAATCTACAGAAAGGGAATGCAGAAATAAAGTTAACTAATTTAGAATTCAGTTTGCTTCTGATGAGCTGTATTGCATGTGCGTCTCTGTAGGTGTGAAAGTCTTGGGTATGGGAGTGGGTGTCTGCCTGCTTGAGTATATGTGCCCGCAGGTATATTGTTGTGTGTGTAAGATATTTAGGCCAGGCAGCTTCATCTTTCAGTGCTCTGTCTCCTGTTCATTGATGACAAATGTATTCTGTTCTCTGTGTAGGTTTTGTTAACTGACACCAATACGCAGTTTGTAGAGCAAACCATAGCTATAATGAAGAACTTACTGGATAATCATACTGAAGGCAGCTCTGAACATCTAGGGCAAGCTAGCATTGAAACCATGATGTTAAATTTGGTCAGGTAAGCATTCTACTAAATAGAAGCATATTTTAAGAGAGAAAATAAACTAGGCATGGATAGTACTTAACCCATTGCCATCAAGTTAAATCTTATTCTCAGCCACCCTAAAGATCAGAGTAGAGCTGTCCAAAGGGTTTTCAAGGTATTGTGTGATCTAGGGTTGCATGGAAGCCGATTGCTACGTCTTTTTTCCTGTGGAACAGCTGGCGGCTTTAAACTACTTACTCTTTGATTAGCAACGGAGCTTTATAACCAGGGTACTACCAGGCTTTCTTTTATTAGTACCTCTTAATGGAATAATTGACTCATTTCTTTATTGCCTCCAAAATAAGGTATGACAATAAATTTGTCAGATATTATCTATATTCTTATAGATGTAAAATAAAAAAACTTAACCAAGGTTTTATAGTTCCATTTAGACCTGTTACTTAGAAATCAAAGCATTTAGAATCTTTCTTCTCTCCTCTGTATCTGATAACTATTGAAAAAACATTTCTGTGTTTAAATAGATATGTTCGTGTGCTTGGGAATATGGTCCATGCAATTCAAATAAAAACGAAACTCTGTCAATTGGTTGAAGTGATGATGGCACGAAGAGACGACCTCTCGTTTTGTCAAGAAATGAAATTCAGGTGAGTTGTCACAAGAACCCAGCAGGGTTTTGTAACTCTTGCTTTGCTACCAGGAGTGTAGGGGAGCAGTAGGTGCTTGGGTATCTGAGAGGCTGGGGCGTGCTTTTCTTTGCAGTGCTCACCTTTTCTAAAGTTACCCCAGATTTTGAGCGATGAGTTTGATTTTGTTTTCCCAACTGATACCAGCACGATGGGCAATTAGGGAGAGTGTCCACGTGACTCCTGTTTGTGCCCTTCTGGCTGTTGGTATGAGCTAGCATTATGTTTTCATGTCACGTAGATTAGTTGGCAAATATTTTCACTATTAAAAAATTACCTCTGACTTTAAGTGTGCTCGTGTGACTTCAAGGGAAAACACTGTTTGCTGCTTTTCTTTTCTCTTCTGTTCTGTAGGAATAAGATGGTAGAATATCTCACCGACTGGGTCATGGGAACTTCAAACCAGGCAGCAGATGATGATGTAAAATGTCTCACAAGGTAAAGGAAAGAATCTCCTGCTATTACGTACCAGCAGGTTTTGCTCTAGACATAAGTACTACTTCTCTGTAGTTATGCTGCATACATTTTACGAACAAGGCTTATTTTTTGGTACCAGCCAACCCTTTTTAATTGTCACACTCAATAAAAACAAATGTGAGGGAGTACTGTGGTTGGAAGGTGAGCATTATCTATAAAGTAGTCACTTACTATTGAGAAATATGGAAGGCCTTAAAAAAATGAAAACCGATTGCTTTTGTTGGTTTTAACTCACACCGACCACGTAGGACAAAGCGGAGCTGCCCCCACAGTGCCAGCTGCTTTGTGGAAGCAGTTGTCACATCTCTCTCTGCAGTAGCTTGTGGATGCCAGCGATTGACCATTTGGTTCACAGCTAAGTGTTTAAGCACTGTGCCACCAGGACTCTGTAAAACCATCCGCAAAACCTTAGATTGTATTATATTTTAAATTAGATGATGGAAAGTGTTACTGGAGGAACTTTCTAAAACGTAGCTCCTTAAGTTTGCACTATACGTACTTACTGCCAAACAACGTGTTTGAGCACAGAGAATTTCCTAATGACCCTTCACTTGTATTACTTGGGCCAGGCCTGGTTTAATCCCAAATAATTGGCTTAGGGTAGTCATTTTGCCAAGATTACTTCATAGAAAGTTACTACCGCCCTCCCCTAATTAGAAAAGTCTTCGCATTGTAAGATTAGCAGATAACCCAGACCATGCAGGTTGTCCTAATTTATTTAGTGACTAGGTTGTTCTGAAAGTTTGTGTGTATTAGCAAGAGAATTATTTGAGGGAACAGTAGAGCAGGAAAACCTGAAGATTGATGGTCTTCCTAACTGTTCTTTCTCCCCTTCTCAGAGATTTGGATCAGGCAAGCATGGAAGCCGTGGTTTCGCTCCTGGCTGGTCTTCCTCTGCAGCCCGAGGAAGGAGATGGTGTGGAATTGATGGAGGCCAAATCACAGTTATTTCTTAAGTAAATTTCAGTCACCAAAAACACAAAACACAAAGCCAATAAAGCCCCACACTTGACCGAACAAAGCAAGTGTAATTAAAGTGGCAAATGATTGTGTTTAGAAAAGGAACTAAATGATTTTGGTATTACCATCCCTGGCTGATGATGTCTCATAAAATAGACCCCATGTGTAGAGAAATATTTTCCATGACAGTGCTGGGGTAGCAAAATAGACCTTGCTTTACAGTTTTTAAAAGGAAATAACCTGAAAAAATTGGTAATTTAAAATTTATTTTTACTAGCAATATAACCCAGATTGCCCCATTTAGGCATTTAAAATGACATGGAACCTTCCGTTTTATATGGTGAATCCTAAAAGCGACACACCAGAAAGCAGTACATCTGCTTGGTGTATATGTCATAGGACCTGCTTTGGATCAGTTACGATACAGTCCTGTCTCATGCACATTTCATGATGAGCCGCGCTGGTCGATTAGCCCTTCTAGAGGGAAGCAGAAACTCGGGTCTGCTCACGTGAGGATGCATTATCAATTTTCCCAGAATGTCCTTTTAGCTTTCTGGTTGGGGTGGTCTTTCCTATGTAAAAGTGAGTCTGTTCATTCTCAGGTATTTCACATTATTTATGAACCTTTTGAATGACTGTAGTGAAGTTGAAGATGAAAATGCCCAGACAGGTGGCAGAAAACGTGGCATGTCTCGGAGGCTCGCATCACTGCGCCACTGCACGGTGCTCGCCATGTCAAATTTACTCAACGCTAACGTGGACAGTGGCCTCATGCACTCCATAGGTGAGATAACATTTAAAGCTGTATTCACAAATGTGAAGCCTGGAGAATTGGCATGTAATGCAAGGAAAAACTACTTCAGTGAAGCCACCTTCATAAATTTACACCTGTCTGTTTTGTCAGGCTTAGGCTATCACAAAGATCTTCAGACAAGAGCTACATTCATGGAAGTTTTGACAAAAATCCTCCAACAAGGCACAGAATTTGATACCCTGGCAGAAACAGTGTTGGCTGATCGGTTTGAGAGACTGGTGGAATTGGTCACAATGATGGGGGATCAAGGAGAGCTCCCTATAGCTATGGCCCTGGCCAACGTGGTCCCTTGTTCTCAGTGGGTAAGTTCATTGAATAAATGGGCAGAAGTGTTTCTACCTGACAGGTAACAAACACTTCAAACAAGCATTTATTTAGTGTACATTTATGAAATGCAATGGTAACATTTCAGAGCAAGAAGAAACTCCAAATATTTAGTTGGGTAGTTCTCAGTGCCTTAGAAGGTCTGGGGAAGTGGTTGAAGCTCCTTATTCTCCCTAGCCTTCTGCCTCATCCTACCCCATCGATACATTCCATGTAAACACCCGATCAAAAACAAACCGGAAAACCACTGGTCAGATCACCTTGAGGCCTTGTAGGTAAGGTTGAGGGTAGAAACCACTGATCTGGTCCAGCCTCTTCATATATTAGATGAAGTAGTCAGAGTAAATCTCAACCAACTAAATCCAAGACATGTGCCTGCTTGCTACCTCCACTCCACTGGCCCTTTTTGTCTATAGCACATTGTATATTTTTAAATGAGAACATATTTGTAGTTGGGATGTTCGTACTACTTATTTTTAAACACATGAGCTATAACATAGCTTTGACCTTTCTTTTAATTTAATAAAAATTTTTCCTAAAGCCACACCATTCTTAATTTAGTTTGTGTTATACTGAAAATGAAGGCAGTATAGTAAATTATAGTGTGTAAGGCAGTTGATCAGTGCTATAGATTTACTTTTGCTTAGAAGCTGTGGGGTTTGATTCCTGGTAGACTTTAGGAATAGGATCTTATATGCCATCACACCCTTCAAATTCTTTTTCCTTTTAGTAAAACTCAGACACTGTTTGATCTAGGCCATGCCTCTTTGCTGCCATTGTCTCATGCGATTTCCCCTCTTGTTCATTAAACTTAAGCCACACAGGCCCTCTCTCTGTTCCTTGAACACATTAGACTTATTTCCACCTTAGAAGAGTCTTGCTGCTGCCGTTGCAGACTGGCATTTTTCTCTCCTGTTCTTTTTGTTGTTGTTGTTCAAGGATTGTTTGTTGGCCTTTAGGAGTGTTTTCCAGTCCAGTCTGTTAGGGCACCACACCCTGGCCCGAAAGTCCACCTTCAGCATTCCCTGGGGACCTCGCTGCTCTGTTCCCTTGCTGTTCTGTTGCACCCCCTTAGTGTTTTTTGTTTCGGTGTGGCAGGATCAGATTGGGTGCAGTTCCCACACTGTGTCTCCGGCATTGTCCCCTGTAGGGCTATGGGTCAGTGAGGGGCGTCATGTCTCATAGTGGGGCCGGCCATGTGGTCCTCTCTGTGGACTAGCTGCTCTAATAGGGAAAATCGTCCTCACGGCTTGGTGGGCCAGGATGTGCTGCACTCTCTCCTCCTCCCCCTTCATCTGCTCCCGTGTGCTCTGATCAGATCAGATATGTCCCTCCCGGAGCTGCAGATTCAATGTCGTCCTTGAAATAAATTCTTCTGGGGGGAGGGGCAGGTGTCCACTTAGTAGTTGGGGTTGGGGCCGGTCCCTCAGAACTCTCTACTGGTTCCCTACTCCATGCCGGCATGTTGCATTCACATCTTGGAGCACTGGGTTGAAGTTTGGTCCCTCTTTCCCTCAGCGGACTCGTGTTGTGCTTGACTTACTTCGCTTAGCATGATTTCCTCCAGTTCTTCCCATGCAGAGATGTGCTACATACGTTCATCACTGCTTTTTAGCGATGTAGTACTCCATTGTATGTATATACCACAGTTTTTTAATACAATTGTCAGTTGATGGAAATTTGGGTTGCTTCCAACTCCTTGCAATTATGAACTGTGCTGCAATGAACATTGGAGCACAGATGTCTGGCCTTGGTTTGTTTCTTGCCTCTTCTGGGTAGATGCCCAGTAGGGGGATTGCTGGGTGGTATGGTAGCTCGATTTCCATCTGTTTTAGATATCGCCGGATTGATTTCCATAGTGGCTGTACTTACTTACAGGTCCACCAGCAGTGGATGAGATTTCCTGTCTCCCCACAGCCCCTCCAACACTTGTTGCTTTCTGTCTCCTGTTCTTTTAAATGGCCACATTTTTGTTACGCAAATTTCAGTTCAGATGCCTCTCTCTCAAGAAGACCTTTCCTGGCTATCCAGTCGAAATTAGCCCCATCATTCTGTCATATTGCCATGTGATCATTTCTTGGTAGCATTTATTCACTATGTGAAATGATCTTTATTTGAATTCTTGTTTTTCCTTCTCTTTCTTTCTACCTGACTGTGAGCCCCATGGGAGCAGGGACCTTGTCTGTCCTGTGCACTGCTCCAGCTCCAGCTCCTGGAAGCGAGCCTGGCACACGGCAGGGACTCAGTACATCATTACTTAATGAATGAGGGGGTATCCTGCTTAAAGTGAGAGAATTGAAAGAAAGTTATAAAATATTCTTGATGCCTAAGATTAGCTAAACCTGTTCAACTGTTTTGAAAACTGATATTTTAAATGATCTTTTTTAGCACCTACCTGCACCTAGCACTAAAATTTCTCTATTTCTCAGAACCTTTAACTCAATTTGTTTCTTTACAGCTTCCTTTCTTTTTAATGACATATATTATACTTCGCTTTGAGAATATTTTTAATTAGTCCAGATCTGTTAATTAGATATAATGGAGAATAAAATACAAGATGACAATTCTATTTTATTTTTAAGATCTTAATTATATTTTAGATGAACATTTACACAGCAAATTAAATTGAACAATTTTTAGAATTTTTTCTATGGTAGTATTACAATTTTTCCACAATAAGCAGGCATTTTCATTATTTTCATTCTTTTTTTTTTTATGACGCTAGTCTCTCTTCCCTACTTTGCTGTCTCATCTTTGCTTTTGGATAAATGTTGGCTGTTTGGTCTCATGTAGTGAATTATTTAAGGGATCTATTGATCACAATACTTTTTATTGTATTTTTATTAACTTAATTTATTTTTAAACTACCCTTCCCCCATTATATTATAAGCCAACATTATTTGGCTGAAAGGTGACTTCCAGGAGTGGCATCAGTGCCAAGTTCAAAGAGTCTCTTTGAGTAGTAGTTTTGGGAGTTCCTGCAGTCTCTATTGGCCTCATAGGTCTGGCCATTTTGAGGAATTTGAGTTTGGTTTTACAATTTTCTTTAATTCTGTTTGGGATCTTATGTGGTGTCCCTGATCAGAACAGTCAGGCCTGGTGGCCAGGCACCATTGAGTTCTTCCGGTCTTGGGTTAGATGGAGCCAGGGTTTGTGTGATCTCTTAATCCATTCTCTTTTGCTCCGAGTGGATGCAAAGACAGGCAGTCCCTGGGTTCACACACACTGCAGGTCACATTAAGGGCCTCTTAGACTACCACCGTCAGTCTCCCTAAGTCTTCTCTATCAGTCAAATTGAGAGCCTCAATTTCCTAAGTCTTCTCTCTCAGTCAAATTGAGAGCCTCAGAACAGTTAGGTGTGGTTTGTATACTATATAAGAAAAAACCATGAACCATTTTTAGGTACCCTAAAACATCTTTAACATAATAATAAGGTATTTTGATTTGTATGCTTGAGAAAAAAGGAAACTGGTTCCACTTAGGCAATTTTGTTTTCTTCTCAGGATGAATTAGCTCGCGTTCTGGTTACTCTTTTCGACTCTCGGCACCTACTCTACCAGTTGCTCTGGAACATGTTTTCGAAGGAAGTCGAATTGGCAGACTCCATGCAGACTCTTTTCCGAGGCAACAGCTTAGCCAGTAAAATAATGACATTCTGTTTCAAGGTTTGTATCTGTTCATCATTTTCTTTTGAACAGACATGTCAAACAATGATTGTGTACAGAGCTGTGCACCTTATTTCCCCAACATGGATGGAGCAGATAAAATAAACTCCTGCCTGTGCATCTCTTTAGGTATATGGTGCTACCTACCTACAAAAACTCCTGGATCCTTTACTGAGAATTGTGATCACATCCTCAGATTGGCAGCATGTTAGCTTTGAAGTGGATCCCACCAGGTTTGTCATCTTATACACAGCTGCTCATTATCTTTGTATTACTGTTGTTGGAAGCAAGGCCTTCATAATTTCTCCCCTTGACTCTGAAATTAGTTTTTAATGATGAAAGGCCCTTAGAGCACCACCTCCAGTCCTTCCAGAGACATAAGTGTCACCACTGGCTTTGTCTGCGTGGATGCCCTTTTTCTTTTTCTTTTTAAAAATAATTTTATTGGGGGCTCATACAACTCTTTTCATAATCCATGCATACATTGGATGCCCTTTTTCAATGTATTTACATGTATAGAAAATGTGTTATAATGTGTATGTGCTTAATATAAATGGTAACATGTTGTATGCATGATTTTACATTTTGGTTTTCTTTTACTTAACCTTGTCTTAGATCTTGTTAAGTCGGTACATAAGGAGTCAGTCACACTCTTTTTAACTACTTTGCAACATTTCATAGTTGACTTTACCCACCCACTGCCATCGCATCCGTTCTCGCTCATAGAAACCTTCTGTAGAGTTTCTGTGTCTGTAGATCTGTCTGGGAGCAGATGGCCGGATTTTTCTCCCCTGGAGTGGCTGCTCGGTTTGAATCTACTGGCCCTGTACTTGTAATAGTCAAGTGCTTAACCACCAGGGCTCCTTAGTTTGACGCTGTAATACTTAGCCAATTTCCTAATTATTATTCCAGCATTCAATCTGCCATTTTCAGGTGATTCGCAGTAGGAATTACTCTCTAATTCTTGGGTCACTTGCTTTCTCAGCACCATCAGTGGTTCTCCATTGGCTGAGAGCTAAAGCGCAGAGCCCATGGCCTTGTGGTCTGGCTAGAATTCACTGGTCCTTCTCACCGGGGCGTTTTCATATGTACTTCTTGCTATAACTCCGGTGAAGTAGGCACATGTCGGTTTTTTAAAAGTTCCTGGCATATACAATTCATTGGGATTGGAGATAACCAAAATTAATGCCCCTCTTCCTCGCCCTGCCCGAGTTCAAAATCAAAGAGGACAGAGGGAAGGGAACAGCTGCCAGAAGGAGATATCACTTGTAATTCTGATAAGATTGATTAGAAAATGTGGCTGTAGATCCTGTGGGCAAAGGCTTTCTGATCCCTCCCCTGAGTTGTTCTCACTTACCCTGTTACTAATCTGTCTAGATGTCCCATAAAGGGACCAGTAGGCCTTACCTCACAGGTAGAAAGACCAGAATGCATCTTCTCTGCAGACAGACATACCTCAGGTTAGAGAGAATAGCATTCACCTGAGCATGCTTAACTCTTTTTTTTTTTTTTATTCACTCTTCCTGTAGTGAGGAGTGACTTAAACCCCCTAAAACCAAAGCAAACAAAACCCAAAATCCCCACAGCCATCACGTACATTCTCACTCATAGCTGCTGTGTCCGTGGGACACGGTTCTGAGGTGGTCATCTTTGTGGGAGCAGACAGTCTCGCCTTTCTCCGCAGGGTGATGGCCAGCCTGACACTGAGCCCACATCATCACCAGGGCTCCTGAGGCATGACTCAGGAAAAGGAACAAAGACTCTAAGGGTAACATAGGTAATTACAAGATTCAGTTTAAAACTGCTCCCTCAGAAGCTTTCCCTACCTCTCACCAGAACACCCCATAGATACACATTGCTCATGAGCAAGCAAATCATCTTTATTCTACTCTGCAGTGTCTTTTTTATCCACAGGCCGTCATTTTGACATCTGTCTGTGATCCTTTGTTACATGAATTTCCCCCCAGTAGTCTGTGGAACTCTGCGCATCTTCATATCCCTTCTTGAGTGTTCAGCATGTCTGGCTCACTGCTCAAAATGACTTGATGAGTAAATGGATTTTACCTAACTGTCCTGGTTGCTGTTCCTAACTGATTATTTAGGAACTCTGTATCACCTAGTATTTGTGGCTTTGCCTTTGCTCGTGTATTAATTGCAAAGTCTAATTGGAATGCCAGCACTAAATTAGCCATCTTGTTAAAATTACTAAATCTTTGTCGTTTAAAACTTCAAGGTATCATTATTTTAAGACCATCATTTGGTTTATTGAGATCTGGTGGCACTGCCAGGTAAGCATTGGACTGCTAACCACAAGGTCGGTGTTTCAAATCCACCAGGCGCTCCATGGGAGAAAGATGAGACTGTTCCTGTAAGATTTATGGCCTCAGAGACCCTATATAGGGTTGCTATGAGTTGGAATTTACTCAAATAGCAGTGCGTTTGGCTTCATTTGGGGTTGTATTTAATTACCATCAAGCAATTTCACTTTGCTGCTTCTTATGCTGAAAGAATTCATGCCAAAGCACATTTTGTAATCCAAGTGAGTTTTTGAAGGACAGGAAAAATTTCAGGTGTTAACAGTCTCAAAAGGGTACGCACTATTTCTGGAAAGAGTGCCAGGCCATACAGAAGCCACACTGGGCTTCACAACTGGTTGTGAAAAACCACGTGGACAAGAGCACCCACACATGCGGGGGTGGATATGGTGGGGAGCGATCCCAGGAGGCCAGAAGCCTAAGAACCCTAGTAGCTAAGAACATGTAGGCCCAGAGACTAAGAGCATGTGGGCCAAGAGTCTGTGGGCCCCAAGTAGGACTGAGGACCCACACAAGTGGGCCCCACATATGCACCTGTGCAGGGGTGGGAGATCCTCATCCTCCACTTGCCATTAACGAGGAGCAGGGTAAAAGAGAGCAAGGCCTTCCCATAGCCAGGGTATTTCAAACCTGGCTGGGGTGGCGTAGTTGAAGGTATTGGTTGACCCTATTGGCTGAGTTTGATCACGCTGGGTGATGTCATGAGCCTGGGCCTAGTTTGAGCGTGTCCAAGATAATGGTTTTACCTTGGCCTAGGGGGCTTGTGTCTGTGCATGCTCAGTTTGGGGTCTTCCCATAGGTGTCTAGTGGGGTGCCTGATTTCTTCCCAGCCTCCTTTATGGGGGCCTTTGCAGACATGGGAGGGACAATCACTCCCCACTCCACCCCTAAATCTAGCCACGTAATAAAACAGCGACTCCAGAAATTGGAGCTGAGTGAATGCAGAGTCACCGTTTTCTGGCCCAGGACATGCTGCAGCTAGTCACTTGTAAGGACACTTGCATAGTAACTGACAAATTGCTGCAGGTGATATGCAGACTAGCTGAGAGTTAAAATTCTCAGGGGCTCAGTTTCAGAGGAACTCACACTTTGTGAGTGTCAGCCTCTAGTTCCTACCACTGGGTTCCTCCTGTGCAGATAAGAGAATAAGCAAGCAAAGTAATTATTTTGAAATAATCCCCAAGGAATATGCCTGTAGTGTAATGCTCTTGTAACAGCCTCTCAAGGTAAACCACCCTAACCCACCCCATTCCCTTTGAGTGTGGACTCTTGCTTCTGCACCTCCATGCAGGACAAAGTAGAACTGTGCTCTGTAGGATGTTCCAGGACTGACTTTTTGGAAGTAATATTGTTGCCAGACTTTCCCGAGGCACCTTTGGGTAGACTCAAACCTCTAGTCTTCTAAGGGAGTTTGTCAGCCATTTGTATCACCATGCCGGAAGGACACATAGCCAATGCCAGCCCCTCTAACTTTTTTTTCTGTTATTCAAAGGGGGTGGGAGGGCTTAAAAATGCGTCTGAAAGTCACAGCCCAAGGACTTGGTTCAATTTGAAAACAGAAATCCCCAGACACTTAATCATAAGATTATAGTTCAGATATTAACAGTAGATAAAAACTTAGAGAACTGCAAGACATTATTTATAGGGAAAGCTCAAGACGGGAGACAAAAACAAAGAGGCACTAAAGGAAATTGACCCCTGCAGCCATAACAAACATAAACGCAGTTAACTTCTGGGTAGATTTATATCAAGCCATCACACTAAAAACCTGTGTACAGGCTTTTATCTTTTACCATTCTTTTGATCCAGTAATACATGTCCAGCCTAATGAAAGTTCTGGTTTTATATTTATTTTTGATTTTGGTTTCTAGTGCACTAATAGGACACTAAGGAGGAGGATTCAAAAGGTACTGAAGGAACCCTTGGTAGCACAAGTGAAGGATTCCAGGGAAACTAGACTTCAGCTGAACCTTTGATTTTAAATGCCAATTTGGTATCTTTTCCCATCAGTTTTCCATACATCTACAACCACATGCCAAAGGAAAAATTAAGAGAGAGCTATTACTGTGTTTAGATTCCCTGGGTGGTATAAGCAGTTAAGTGTTCAGCTACTAAGCTGAAGGTTAGCGGTTCGATTCTTCCCAGAAGTGCCTTGGAAGAAAGGCCGGGTGATGTACTTCAAAAACAAACAACAGAACTGGTCACCGAAAACCTGTAGAACACAGTTCTTCCTTAATATGGGGTTGCTGTGAGTCTGTTTCTTTTAAGTCTGCCTCTAGCATCTCACCTCTAATCATGCCATCCAGACTTAGAGATAATACGGATACGAATGAGCGACTATAGTGGGACGTGGGAAGTTGTGGAGGAGAGCAAGCCAGGGTACCATCAGAAGCAAGTCTGAGTGATATAACTGTGTGGTGCCATTGACAATTTGGAAACGCAAGTTAAATCACCAGAGGATGAAGGAAAAATCAACCAATTGTAATATTCTGAGGTTTAGGTACTGGTGGATCATCTAGTCTTTAGAAATATCAGACAGTGCATAAAAGACAGTTCATAATAAGAAAAACCTAAAACGCCACACAATACATGAAAGGATGTTTAACGTTAGTATAATTATAGAAATAAAGTGTGTGTGTGTGTGTGTGTGTGTGCGCGCGTGCATGCGTGTATGAGTGAGAGAATGAATTGGATCATAGGATTGTGGGAGCTGGCAAGTTTAAAATTGATAGTTGAGGTAACAGTGGAGGCTCCTGCTAATGCAAAGGATTGTAAACCCCCAATAAACCTGGTGTTACTGAGGCAATTAGGACTCCTAGCAACTCTATTGGATGGAGTAGAACTGCCCATATGGTTTCCAAGGCTGTTTATGAAAACAGACAGCCTATCTTCCTCCTGTGGAGTGACGCTTGGCTTCCAATTGCTTACCTTTTAGTTGGGAGCCAAGTACTAACCCCCTGCACCCCTAAAGCTCATTCACGAGATTGTAGTGGGCAAGCCAGTCCAAATTCTGTGATCTGGTAGCAGGTTTTCCTCCCAGTAGCTGTAGATCTGGCAGGCCATGGGAAGAGTGGAGAGAAAGAAAAAAATGAGATGTCAAAATATCTATTTAATCTGAAGGCAGAATACACAGTAAGAAATTCCGTTTTCTACTGATCAGTTGATTACATTACATCAGTTTACACTGTACCAGCAGCACTAGTCCAGTAGTTGGCCAGAGCACGCCAACCCGTTAAAAACACACACACCAAACCCACCCCCATCGAGCGGATTGTAACCCACAGTGATCCTGTATGCAGTTTCCGAGACCCTCACTCTTTCCAGCAGACAGCTTTCTCTTTCTCCCCTGGAGCATCTGGTGGTTTAGCTGCCCACTTTGAAATTGCCAGCCCAGCACCTCGCCCAGAGCATCACCAGGGCTCTTGACACATACGACTTCTAACCATCTCACTTGGGAATAGAGGAGAAGATATGTGACTGCTTATCTAATACAAACTAAATTTACATAAGCTCTGACTCAGCAGCTCTACTTTCAGAAAACTGCCCTAGAGAAACTCTTGCATATGCACAAAAATTCTCATTGTAATAGTGTATCTAGTAGTAAAAAAATGTAATCCTAATTTTGTTCATACGAAAACATAAACCATGATATGTTATACAGTGAACTAATATGTAGTATTTAAAATGTGTTATGCAGTGGACTAATATGTAGTATTTAAAATGAACTAGATTTTTATGTTCAGCCTGGATAATTCTCAGAAAATAAAAGATGAAAAAACGAATTGATGAAAAAATTTAAAGCACATCATTTATTGATGCGTGTATAAAAGAATGTGTTTAATATTTGTGTAAGGATACACACCTACCAAGATGGAGATTGGAAGAATTCCCCTGCACTTCAGGATTCTTATTGCTGTTGGTCTTTAGCTGTAGCTTTAACATTTCTAAAAACAAAAAATAAAGAAGTTGTATGCAGTTAGTGGTGGGTACCCATTTTTTATGTTTGTAATAATCTACAATTGAAAGGAAAATACAGACTTGATGGGTAGGACAAAAGAGTTGAGTCATTTGCAAGGAGTTGGATTGAAACCAGAAGAATTGCAACAACTTGCCAAAAAAGTCTAGGAAAAAAGCCAGTGAGTGAAGGTGGTGGTGGTGGTGGTAGTGGGCAGTCAAGTCGATTCTAGCTCACAGGGACCCGAGAGTATCAAGTGCAATTACTTCATCAAGCTTCCTAGGCCATCAGCGTTCTGGAAGCAGCTTGACAGGCCTTTCTCCCCTGGAGCAACTGGTGGCCTGGAAATGCTGACCTTTTGTTGAATGGCCAAATGCTTAGCCATGGGTCACCAGGAGTCCTTCCACGGGAGGTTCTGTCCCACAATTTTAGGAAGAGGAAGCTAATACAGAAAAGTGAACACAGAAAGAGTAGGACTAGGTAATCAATATGGGGTCATGAAACTCAAGGAAAGAGAAATTCAAGGGATTCATAGACTATTAAAATTAAAGCAATTATTGTTTGAGTAATAGTGGGTTAGTGTCTTACAAGTTACAATGGAAACCTTGGTCGACCAAGAAGAAAAATGGGATGATACCACTTGATCAGTAGAGTGTTCAAGAAATACTTTATTCTGTATGAATTTTTTTAATTGAGTGCCTTCAAGAATAATAGCCTTAATAGAATAGTATAATATAATGAACTCTCATATATCCATAAGTATGCAGCTTCAGCAGTTATTATCACTTATCAGGTTCTGGTTTTATCTATCCCCTCATCCCCATCCCAAAGCTTTTATTTTATTATTATTTTTCCATACTTTTGGTCTGTATATTTATCAGATGGTTACTGTTACCGTATAGACTCATGTATAAGCCAAGGTTTTTCAGCACTTTTTTTTTAATGACAGTTTTTCCTTTTTTAAAAATCATTTTATTAGGGGTTCATACAACTCTTATCACAATCCATATATACATCAATCATATACATCAATTGTGTAAAGCACATTTGTACATTCATTGCCCTCATCATTCTCAAAACATTTTCTCTCCACCTAAGCTCCTGGCATCAGCTCCTCATTTTTCCCCTCCCTCCCCGCTCCTCACTCCCTCATGAACCCTTGATAATTTATAAATTATTATTTTGTCATATCTTGCCCTGTCCGAGGTCTCCCTTAACCCGCTTTTCTGTTGTCCATCCCCCAGGCAGGAGGTCACATGTAGATCCTTGTAATCCATTCCCCCTTTCCAAGCCACCCTCCCTCTACCCTTCCAGTATCGCCACTCACACCACTGGTCCTGAAGGGATCATCCGCCCTGGATTCCCTGTGTTTCCAGTTCTTATCTGTACCAGTGTACATCCTCTTGTCTAGCCAGATTTGTAAGGTAGAATTGAGATCATGATAGTGGGGGGCGGGGGAGGGGGCGGGAAGAAGCATTTAGGATCTAGAGGAAAGTTGTGTATGTTTCTTCGTTGCTACATCACACCCTGACTGGCTCCTCTCCTCTCCAAGACCCTTCTGTAAGGGGATGTCCAGTGGCCTACAAATGGGCTTTGGGTCTCCACTCCGCACTCCCGCCCTCATTCACTCTGATAAGATTTTTTGTTCTGATGATGCCTGATAACTGATCCCTTCGGCACCTCATGATCACACAGGCTGGTGTGTTTCTTCCATGTGGGCTCTGTTGCTTCTGAGCTAGATGGCCGCTTGTTTACCTTCAAGCCTTTAAGACCCCAGATGCTATGTCTTTTGATAGCCAGGCACCATCAGCTTTCTTCACCACATTTGCTTATGCACCCGCTTTGTCTTCAGCTGTTGTGTTGGGAAGGTGCGCATCACAGAATGCCAATTTAATAGAAGAAAGTATTCTTGCATTGAGGGAGTACTTGAGTGGAGGCCCGATGTCCTTCTGCTACCTTAATACTAAGCCTATAAATATATGCACATAGATCTATTTCCCCATCCTCATATATAAATATATTTGCATATATTCATGTCTTTATCTAGACCTCTATAAATTCCCTTTGCCTCCCAGCTCTTTCCTCTATTTCCTTTGACTTTCCTCCTGTCTCACTATCTTGCTCAGTCCCCAACTGGGTTTCAGCAATTCCTCTTGGTTATATTACCCTTGATTACGCCCTAGCAGGCCCCCACATCCTCCTCACCACCAATTTGGATCACTTGTTGTTCCCTTGTCCCTGGGTTTGTTAAAACCTCTACCTTTCCCCCCACCTCCCCCTCTCCCATGTCCCCCCGGAATTGTTGGTCCTGTTGTTTTCTCCTCCAGATTGTTCATTCAGACTATCTTATTTAGACAGCCCTGCGGAGATAATAACATGCACAAAAATAAGACAGAGCAAAACCAAGCAACAATATACAACAAAACAACAAACCAATGACAAAAAAACAAAACACAACAAGAAAGAAAAGCTCGTAGTTAGTTCAAGGACTGTTGGTTGGCCTTTAGGAGTGTTTTCCAGTTCAGTGTGTTGGGGCACCACGCCCTGGCCACACAGTCCACCTTCAGCATTCCCTGGGGACCTTGCCGCTCTATTCCCTTGCTGTTCTGTTGCACCCCCTTAGTGTTTTGCCTCGGTCTGGCGGGATCAGATTGGGTGCAATTCCCACACTGTGTCACTGGCGTTGTCCCCTGTAGGGCTATGGGTCAGTGAGGGGCGTCATGTCTCATAGTGGGGCCAGCCATGTGGTCCTCTCTGTGGACTGGCTGCTCTAATCGGGAACATCATCCTCATGGCCTGGTGGGCCAGGATGTGCTGCACTCTCTCCTCCTCCCCCTTCATCTGCTCCCGTGTGCTCTGATCAGATTTACCCCTCTCCTGGAGCTGCAAATTCAATGCCATCCTTTGAAATAAATTCTTCTGGGGGGAGGGGCAGGTGTCCAGGTAGTAGTCCAGACCTCACCACTGGTTCCCTACTCCACGCCAGTATGTTTCATTCACATCTTGGAGCACTGGGTTGAAGTCTGGTCCCTCTTTCCCTGTGGAGATATAAACAATACCTCCCCTTGCCCATCCCAGAGCTATTAAAGCATACCCTAGAGATCATATTTTCAATGGCTAAGAACTTAAAATATAGCCAGTTATTATCATACTCAATAAAATATAAAATAACCCCCAAGACTAATTTTGTAAAAAAAAAGTTTTCCTACTTATCTACAACTTAATTTTATTTTTAAATGTGTTTTTTTAAACCCAACAGTCTGCATTATGTAATTGAATGTCTGTTGAAGAATGTTTTTTTTCTTTTAACTGTTTGATTTTATGTTTTTGTTTTTCGGGTTTTTTTGATAGATTAGAACAGTCAGAAATTCTTGAAGAAAACCAGCGGAATCTCCTTCAGATGACTGAAAAGTTCTTCCATGCCATCATCAGTTCCTCCTCGGAATTCCCCCCTCAGCTTCGAAGTGTGTGCCACTGTTTGTACCAGGTATGCTTACGGTCTGAAATGACACTGCTAATCCAAAGCTAAATTCGGAGGAAAGGGTACCTTACCGGAGAGGGCTTTAGCTGTTGTTACTAGATAGCTGAATAAAGCAGTCAGTTTAGATTCGTAGTACATGAGAATTATAGTTGGCTTTGAGAGAACACCACCACCACCACATCAATATTGCTTATGAGACATGTTACTGTACATTGAGGGAATACTTCAAAAGTATTAATTTCTCTGCATTGAGATCAAAATATAAAATGCACAATCTATTGCGTATGATGGCTAAAGCTACAATGACACATGCTATGGAAGTTTTTGTTTCTTTTGCCAAAATTAAAGGTTCTTTTACACTTGCTTTTTGCACTATGGAATATTTTATCTCTAATTTTGGTTTTCTCATTAAAATATTAAAATGAGTTTGCATCAGATTGTGTGTCTTTTGTGTAGAATGCTGCTTTTCAGAGATAGTGCATCATCATTCAGACCAAATCAGTAGACTTCCTAACCCTAGCACCACAAGTAACGCTTCTGTGTTCGGAGCTCTATAGTTACCCCTTCCTGTTGAAGGAATGTAGGCCTAAAACCTTTTGTGGTCTTCACTGTGCTTTTGAATTGTAGATGCAGTTTGATGAATGATTTATTCATTCCCAAAGAGGTTAATGCATATCCTCATTAGCTTGTGTAAGTTGTGATCCCGGAAAATATGTTAGGGGTCTGGAGTTAGGGATGGGTTAGGCATAAAAGATGAATTTTACTCGTTTACCAAAATGCGTGCCTTTTCCTCTGTCTTTGCAGTCATCCCAGCCATTTGTGTGTAGCACAGGCTTTGGTTGCTTAGAGACACTAGCAGCATCAGGGAAATCACCGCTTAAAAAACTGTTTCAGGCTGCTCTGTGTGATCTCCCCCCCACCCCCTATGGCTGTTTATAGGGGGTGTATCTGTAGCTATTAATGAAACCAAAACCAAATTTCTCAATATTCAGCAATAATAAAGGAGATGTAGTATTAAGTCTCTCTTAAATTACCATCACCATTTTTTCCTTTAAATAAAAAGCTCAATGGAAGCAGTCCTACACATTCCACCTTCCCACCCCGCACTCTGCCCCCAGCTCATTAGCTCTGAGGCTGGAAGATTGTTGAGCTATTTTATAAATCTTAATACTGTAAATAGTACCTTAACTTTGAGTCTTGTTCCGTTTTCTCTTTAAATCTAATTTTAGTAATTCTGTGTTTCTGAAACTGGTAGGTAAGAAATAGCCCACATTCAAAGCAGTCTAGGGGGCCAGCCTTCCTGGTTGCCCTGGAATAACTATTTTCTAGAGGACAAATTGGTTTCTCAAGTGGTAGTGGCTTTAACCTCAGCTGATTAAAAGTGAATGGGGCCTGACTACCTGATTTCATGCTTTAGTAGATTGTGATAGAAAATTTTCACATGTTGTCATTCTAAAAGAAAAATATGTATCATCATCAAACTGGATATCAGTTGGAGTCCATGATTCTAAAAAAAAACCATAAAACCTCAGTGAAAGGACCAAGGCTTAGAACTTAGAAAGGCCTTACCGGTAGTAATTGTTTAATGAAGGAATTCCTTCTCTCACACCTTCCACCCAAGCAAATAAGATTCTTGTCAACTATTATATTTGAGAAGGAAAGGAAACAATGAAAATAATTTACAGCCATTGAGCCGGCCCTAGGTAATTAGTAGCTCACGAAACACTGTTGTGCATTTTAAAGCACCCCTAATAGAGTATCTTGCATTGTCTTAATGACAGACCTAAACTTGCATATTCACATTTCTTATGAAAGTCTTCTCTTAAAAAACCAAAAACAAAAAAAAGTGTTCTCTTGAAACACAATTTAAATGTGTGTCACTGCCTTGTTTTGAAGTATTAGGCAAGCTTACCATTGTGGGAACGCATGGCACTGTGGGGCAGCTATATGCGGTCTAGAAGTAAGGTTTCATTTTTTAGAAAGTGATTTATGGTGGACAATTTACTCTAGTCGGTAGTTTTAAAAGATAATCCTTCATTGTGTCACCATTGTCCCTCTTCAAGCTTCTTTTTGGCCCCTTTCAACCTTTTGCAGCATCTTTGTGCTCTTATGTTCTGCTGGAAGGATTAGATATTAGTAGATATTAGTAGATTGTGGGGAGTTTTAATTTTTTTTGTTATTTTTGTTTCTCTAATAAACATGGCTCCTGATTTGGAACCCATTGGGGAACATTTGGAAGCAAAATGAGCGTATTTCTAGCTAATAAATTTTCGTTGAGTTTTGGCTCTTTTTGCTTGAGCCTATTTTCGTTGTCCATGAAGCCTTTTCCAAATCCTGCTTCAATTAGCTCTGCTATTTTATTTTACCATTTTATCTGTCTATCTAATCTTACTTATTATAACTCTGTCATTTTAGAGTAAGGAGCTCTGGTGGTGTAGTGGTTACAAGTTGGGCTGCTAACTGCAAGATCAGTAGTTTAAAACCACCAGTTGCACCTTGGGAGAAAGATGAGGCTTTCTACTCCCGTAAAGAGTTACTGCCTCGAAACCCAGAGGGGCAGTTCTACCTGGTCCTATAGTGTCACTGTGAGTCAGAATGGACTCAGTGGCAGTCAGTTTGTTTGTTTGATTGCTTTTTTATTTTAGATGCCTGCTGTAGTTAATGGAAATTGGGTTGAAGTTCGATAGGAATGGCTAATTGTGAATATGTATCAGGTATATCCTCATGTATTTGCTCTACTTTTCCTTCTGGTAGTTTTTCTTATAAAAAAGGGACAATAATTCCAGAATGTAGATTCTCTTAAGTTATAGTAAGAAAATTCTTTTGAAGAGCTCAATATTGTGATTTTAAATAAACACCCTCCTTTTCCCAGTAAATTTTCTCCTTCAAACAGAAATCATTCATATAATTGTTTAAGGCCATAAAGAATGGTTGTCTGCCAGAATTGGGGAAGTATAAGACTTCATTTTGTGATATATTTGATTATTAATGCTTTTGTATGGTGCTTTGACAGCACAATGGTTACATCCTCAATCACTAACCAAAAGGCTGAAGGTTTAAATCCTCCAGCAACTCTACAGGAGAAAGACCTGGCAGACAGTCTGCTCCTATAAAGATGACAGCAGAGAAAACCCTTGGGACAGCTCTACTGCGCCCTATAAGGTTACTGCTGTGGGTTGAATATTGACTCAACTGCCCCTAACAGCAGCAATTCTTTTTCTATGGAGTCTGAAGTCAGAACCTAAGCTCCATGAGATAAAGGGCTGTGTCATTTTGGCTGCCTGCTCTGTCTCGGTGCTTAGAGCAGTGTCTGGCATTTAGATGCACAGTAACTTCTTAGATGAATGGATGAATGAACGAATGTCAAACTAACTTGAGATTTAAGTCCAGATTTTTATGGGCTATGTTGTGGGATGCCTAGAATTGCTAGAGTAAGATGCCATGTATCAGTGGATTAGAAAAATCACAGTTTGATTTGGAAAGCACTTTAAATTTCAAAACAACTGTTCTATCTGATCTACTTCAGTTAGGAGTCTTTTAATTTTAAAAGAATTCTGTAGCCTAGAAGCAGCTCTGAGAGGTGAAAACCAATGTCTGTTTTTTTGGGGGGGGAGGCATTTTTCTTTTTTAGTCATTATAATATGTTTTTTAAATGTAAGCAGGTACAGTTTTATTCTGTAAGTTTCTCTGCAGTTTCTTCACTTTAACATTAATTAATGCTTATCTCTAGTTGAACTGATAACATTTCCCCCCAAATGTTGCAAAGCTTTTCATGCCCTCTTAGAACCATTTCAGGAAGCAGCCTAAAAATAGTAAAAAAAATATGTGAAATTCTGGAGTAATCTTTCTTAAGAGAAAGAGACTGAAAAATTGTGGATTCATAACTCTAAAGTGAAATTTCTATTACCTTTAATCATTTAATTTTATTATCAATAGGATTTTAATTGAAAATGCCAGATATTGAAAGAGGAATTTTAAGTCAATTGAAGGATACACAGAGAAGTATTTTATGTCAAAAGAAAATTGTTAGACACAGAGAAGTCCTTCTAGTGTGTGATCTACTTATAACAAGCATTTTATGTAAAATCTATTAAAGGAATTTACTAAAATATAAATACTCCATATCCTCAACTCTGCTTGGTGAGAGCTTTTCTGTGACTTATAGCCAGAAATAGTAGATATGATTGAGTCTCAACTTGCCATTATTTAATAGTGCTTTGGCTTAAAACGTAATAAAAATTTAAATCCAGGATTAAAATTCATCCCTCAAAATTTAGTTGAGTTCTAATTTTTTGTTGATTCCATTTGTGTTACATTTTATCATGTAATTTATGTACAAGCCAACATTGTTTTTGTTGCTGTCTGTAGTTGGTGCTGTGACTTGTTTGTGCTCATCTCTGTTCTGTAGGCAACTTGCCACTCCCTACTGACTAAAGCTACAGTAAAAGAAAAAAAGGAAAACAAAAAATCAGTAAGTTTGGAGAACTTTTTATTAGCTGTTTCTTTCAAAGCAAAACAAAAATCTTTTGCTGTTTGTTAAGAACATCTTCACTTCAGCCTATTTGACCTTCACTGTAAAATCATTCTACTAATTCTGGCACAAAATAGCTTTCATTTCAATTAACCCTGGAATTAAGTTACATTGAAACATTCTCTGTGTTCCTTTGGTTTGATTTATCCCAAAGGCATTTGGGGGCATTTGCTGCATTGGATATCCCTGGTCTAACTTTTATTATTATTGTTTTAAAAATTATAAATGAATGCAAAGGAAACTTAATTTCAAGGCCTTAGGAAATGCTGCCTCTTCATTCATGCTGCTTATTTGCAGGTAATATGAGTGGTTCCTTTTCCTAGAGTTGAAGTATAGAGAGGGGAAGTGTCACTTTTCAAATCTTAATAAAAAATTGTTGCTTTGTTTTTTATCCTCTGTATTTTTATCTAGGCAGTCTCAGGCATAGTGTAGATATTTATATTTAAATGTAAACATTTTAATGATAAACCACTTTTGCCTTACCAAAAATTAATACTTAATTATTGGAATTGTAACCATTGTACTTCTGAACTAAACAAAAACTCAATAAGTTAATATTTATAAATACCATATTCTGCGAACATGGCATGAATGTGCTACTTCTGTGAGTTTGACTCAATTTAAAAGGAAGAAAATTATGATAGTCAATTATTTTCTTCCAATGAATAGAATCTGTCCAAAATGTTACATGCATTCATTTTAAATTTGTCATTGTCAGTGTGACTTATTAGACTGAGTATTATATTTGTGCATATGATTCAAGTTAGTTTTACAGAAAGATGTAAAGGGCACTTTTATGATTCAGGTACTTAGTTTTCTCATAAAAAGGTCTAATTCAGAGCATAGGATGTATCTGGTTTCATCTTTCATCCTTGTCTAAGCTTTACATATTACAAATTTGTTTTAAATTCAGAAATAAAATATCCTTTCATTATGTCCATTATCAGGATTTTCTTCTGGCACAAGTTAAGTAAATTTGGTCAGCTGAGGGCACATGGATTGGGTGGCCTTTATGTTCACTGAACGCATTTCTTTCTAATGCTTCAACCTTCTAATTCTCAGCATATATGGGTTTAACACAATATCACCATCACTATTGAAATTAATTTACTATTTCTAACACTCTTCTTTAGTGTTATACTAATGCCACGTGTATTACATAATTTAAAACTCAGGCTTTCTGTGTTCCCTGGAGCATGTTTTCTAGCCTTCTTAACACTGCTTAGTTATTAAGATTTTCTCTAAAATTGTTTAAAATGTTCTCTTTTTTCCCCCCTACTAGAGTCATTTTTTTTTTTTAAGTTTCTGGTAACACTAAATTTTGGTGTGTATTTCTCAGCATAGGTGATTTTGAGGTCTTAATGGAAATAAGGTTGCATCTAATTGGTAATTTGCGGTATCTTTGAACACATTTGAAAGTATGGAGACTATAATTATTATAAATTTAACATGTCATTTTGTAGGGTTGTTTGTGTACCAGAAGCTAATGAATTTTTTAAATTGTTTTTTTAAGCAAGCTACCTTGGTTCTGGGTCATATGAATCATACAGTTGGATGAAGTACAGCATGTGGAGAATATTCAGGCTTCTGGAATGTGATGATTTAGTCATATTAGAAATAGTACTGTTATATTCAAACATATACCATTCCACGTACTTTGAAAATGACCTTGCTAACCAAACTGCAGGGAGAGTTTGCACTAATTAAGCAAGTGTGGTAATGACTCCAGTGCCGAATCCCACTTTATGATGGACAACATGCACTCCCATGACCTCATGATTTTTCCAAAGAGTTGGCTGAAAACTGGTTTTATAACACAAACTGGCTCAAGTTGGACATTTAATGCAGAATGTATTTGGGATCCAAGTTAGATTTTTATTATTTATACTAACTACTTGCATTTGCATATCATTTATAAGGTAAAATTGCATTGCTGATAATTCATGGTGAAAGAAAAAGCAGTGTTTAATAGACTGATTCCTTTGTGGCAAAAGAAAAAGCAGTTTCATCAAATTGATTCCTTCACAAAACTTGTTCTGCAACATTTTGTTAATATTAATTATTACTGTTTTATCAGGTCTTACCTCCAAAAACTACTGATCCTACCATCAGTGAGATTATATATTTATGTAGGACATGAAGTGGTGTGTGTGTGCTGGGGGTGTGGATATTTTGGGTTTTGACACGCGCTATTTTCGAAGGTGTAGTACTTCTCATACATTTCACAATAGTGTCCCCGTGGGAAAGTTCATTTAGATTTCCATTCAGTTGTGAGGTTGAATAGTGTTAGATATAAATCAGTTATAAACTTGTGCTTTTAACCTCTCTGCGTCCTAGAGAAAGTAGCACCTAGCTTTAGCAGTGTATTTTAAAAGTGCTCTCGGTGTGCTTACATTCCTGATTTGTATAAGACAGATTTGGCCAGACTCTGGAATTTACAATTAACTGGTTCTTTGTAAACCAAGTTCTGGCTTTTAGCTTTTTGAAAGTTACTTCAGGATATTAATGGGTTGAAAATGGGTACAGGCTAATTCTTTTAAAAGAAACCATTTAAAATCAATAGAAAACAATTTTCATCTTCAGCTTAGGCTGCCATCTGCAAGGTCAGTAGTTTGAAACCACCAGTCACCCCACATGAGGGTGAAGCTTTCTACTCCCGGGTAGAGTTACAATCTCAGAAATCTGCAGGGGCAGTTCTACTCTGTCCTACAGGGTCACCTTGAGTCAGAATCCCCTCAAGGGCAAGAATTTGGGGTCCCTCTCCTTGCTGTGCCAAATTATATCTTAAAAGCTTAGAACTCCTGTTGGTGTCCTGACATGTTTTGTCTTCAGATTACAAAGGGGGAATTCTAAAAGAACTCAGTAATAGGGGCACCTAAGAGCTTTCTGTATACATGCATGTTATTTTTCTCAATGTTTACACCAGATTTTTAAAGGGGTTTTTAGTCCCCTCAAGTTAAACACTAAACTGTAAGAACATTGAATTTTCTTTTCAGTTCGATTTAAAAGAACGTAGGTTTCCGATTACATGGAACTGTGTGTGACCTACTCCCTGGGGGACAGACAACCGAAAAGTGGATGAAGGGAGACATCGGACAGGGCAAGATATGACAAAATACCCATTTATAAATTATCAAGGGCTCATGCGGGAGGGGGGAGCGGGGAGGGAGGGGAAAAATGAAGACCTAATGTC